TTTACTTTGTTCTTGTGTTATTTTCTTACAATTATTTTGAGAAGACAGACTCCTCTGCCACAGCCTTAGTAACTTGACTGTCACAACAATAGACAGTCATGAGGCTGCTTTGCAGAGAATCAAACCACCATTCCATCAAAGAGTTATCACTTATTCCATCATTAACATACATAATCTGAAGCCCAATAATGGAAATCTCCTTCATTAGTTAGCTACATTCAACAGTGGGAAGGGGCAGGGAAGTCTTGAGGTGGTCTAAATATCTCTCCCACTGGCTAATCAATGTAAGCACGGCATGTGGCATGTGGCACACATGCTAACAACTGAGAAATACAACTCCACTCAAATGAATTTTCAAGCTCCTCTGGCATCTCCCAGAATTGCAGCAATCCACACTGCAATATGATTCTCAGGACAGGTGAACCTGCAGTGTTCAAGATCACCAGGAGTATTCTCTGACCCCCCCGCCCCCCGATTCCTCCTTGCCCAACTGCTGCTCACTCTTCATGAACAGGGAGCCTGTACAGATTAAGCCTTGGTGGGATGTTTGGGAAAGTTCCCTCCAGAAGAAAGCTGGGCTGAATCAGTCTACTGAGGAAGGTTTCATGAAGTAGGAAATGTGTGCAAATGGAACTGGGAATTGGAAACTGGATGAACAAAGTACATTTTCAACAATTTGTGGATATTTTCAGCAGGCACGTGGATATTTTCACATTCAGAGCTTTGAACAGGGTGTGCTCACATGCTTTGTGAGTAAAAGTGAAATTTTCAATCTCTAGCAGATATAATGCTGTCTTCATTATGGGTGCCCAGCAAGAAGCAATTCTATCTGAGAAAAATATTGGCTTTTTTCTCCTACCCTGTATCTTCAATTAAAAAATACCATATGAACATATATGATCCTATAGCCTAATTTTCCTTGCACTGTAAAGGATCTTAACACTGCTATAGATAAGTTACGCATGCTCAAGTCCCCCTGAAAACAGTGGGTTAATATTAGGACATGATTTATTCTTTGTGCATGCTTAACTCTTCCACTAAAATCAGTCATTACTGAATTTTGTCCTTTATAGTTTACCTAGAGCTATTAGCAATATTAACAGCTGAAAAATTGGACTGTATGCTTTTAATGTTTCTGTCATTTTCCTAGTTTGGCAGCTATCATATTATCTACCTCATGTGCAATCCAACTTTGTTCATAATAGTATGATTCAGTCATGCAAGTCTACTCAGAAGGAAGCCCCAAGTTGCTCAGTATGGATGATTACTAAATAAATGTGCAAAGGAGTGTAACCTAAGTCAGTATTAAGGGTTGTCTGTCTCTTATCAGCCTTATGAAACTGTAATACAAGACTTTACAACATTTCCTGGAATTACTTTGGCTGTTTTAATTTCCATTACAATTTAAAACACAGCATGATGACTCAAAAGTGTCAGTGAGCCATGGCAGGAAGATTTAGTTTAAACCTATTAATTAAAATACAAGGAATTATTTTAAAGGCATTCGTGGTGATTACTTTAAAAATGCTATTTCCTTCTGTCTGTCAATATAAATATCAAGTAATATTCAGATTGCAAATCAGCTTTTGTCCATAGCTTTTGTAACCATAAAGTATCTGTTCTGGTACACACTTTCAGCATCCAGTATCCTATGAATTTCAATCCAGCATTCTTAAGATAACCGTCTTAAGAAGCATGGCTATTAGGGCTATCAGTGTAAGACATTGTTTGTCCGCTGATTCTTAGCTGGAGCAAATTAATGTTGCTGACTGTGCTTTGGGGATTTTTTTTTAAGTTCCACAACCAAAAAGTCTACAACCAGAATTCATCCTGACATGTGCGTAAGTGAGAAAGCTACACACATACTGGGGAATTTTACAGTATGCCCAGGAGCAGAGATGTTATGGGATGAGGGTCCCACTCATGGATCTTGATATGGAATGCTACTGGAATAAGGACCTTCTGTTGCTCAGTAGCCTTGCTTGTTGTGTCTTTCTTCCCCATTTTGGTGGGTATGCCTATTTCTCAGTGCAGCTCTTTCATTCAACCTTCCTAACAGACATGTAAAGTGTTGGATACCCAGGCTTTACAGAGAAAGGGCAATTTGTCTGGCCCACCCAGTATCTCTGTTCTTATCTCAAGGAAGTAACTCAGTGATTGAGAAACAGAGAGGCCTTGCCCAATAAGGGAAAAGGGGAGGAATGTGAGGGACAGGTTGTTTATACTTTGATAGAGCAGGCTCTCCCCATCTATTGCAATAAACGAAGGAAAGGCCTCACTTTGTTGGCAGTCTTGGTTATTTAACTTGAGGAGAAGCATTTTGCAGCTTTTTGCATAACATTCTCCGAAAAAGTGTGCTCAGGCAACTCATGCTCCAGAGGACTTGTTGGCTGGACCTAGAGCAAGCAGATCCATGCTTGGGAAAGGCACATGGATACGGACTTACCATATGGACAGTAATGTGCCAGCTTAAGGAGTTTTCGTTCCATTGTTATTTTGACAGGTGAATTGTTGGTTGGTTTTTAATTATGCTTTTAATATTATGTACCATTAAATGCTGCTGCCTTATGATTTTATTGATTTATGTTAGATATTGATATTGATGATGTTTTAATTGCTTTATGGCCTTTTATTTTTTGGATCCCCATGTATAATATTTATCTTACTTGTTTTATCATCCTAATTTTGTCTTACTTTAGTAGATTTTACTGATGGATTTTTATTGTTTATTGGTTTTATTGTGAACTGTAGATTTTATTGTATATTGTATTTTATGTTGAACATGGAGTTTATTGTTTTGTGAGCCACCCAGAGAACCTATGGCTAATGAGGCAGCATATAAATGGGACAAATAAAAATAACAAACAAATAAACAAATTCAAGTAAGGTAGTACAAGGGAAGATATGATCTTGTAACTTTCTTTATGTAAAAGTAAAATGAATACTTTATTTAGCACGCTGTTAGCTCTTGTGTTTTATCTATCTTTGATACTATGTGACCTTTAAAAAACCTATCTCAGCCATTTTGATCCTAGAAACGTTCTGCACTCTGTCCATGAAAAGATGAACTCTAACTTGTAAAAGCTTATGGCACAATAAAGTTGGTAACCAAGGTGCCATGAACAACATTCTGTTTTTGCTATAGTGGCACTATATGGATAGCAATGCCCCCACTCCATGGGAGATCAACATAAATAAGATTTTCAGGTTAAGAGGATATCCACCTAGTAATAAAATTAACACAAAAATTTCCCCTTCGATCCATCCATCTCTAGCTCCAGGTCTTTGAGCGTCCGTTAGTAATACAAGCTCAATGGCCGCTTCTTTCAGTGAATCTGTCTTTGACCCCAACTGTCACTACCTGCTATTGCTTCATATCATTTTTCTCATTAATGTGAGCACTTGTTAGACAAGACAGCCATTGAGCATATACTGCTCCTCCTCCTCCTCCTCCTCCTCACTCCAAGCATTGCCCGGGCCAGAATGGGAAGCAGACAAGCAGGCTGCAATGGCAATGACGAGGAGGAGCTCCAGCAGGATTTGTCTGAGGGTGGACTTCTGGTGGCCATTCCTACCCTCAACACTGCCCCTGATCTGTCTGTCCATCCATCCTATTATGTGCCTGTATTGTGTGTGTGTGTGTGTGTGTGTGTGTGTGTGTGTATTGGATTCTAGATTCTAGCAAGAAGAGTATTTCTTCCACTGTTAACAGAAATCTAATGAGTCCATTCATCACCAAATATCATTCTCAAAACTAAGATAGCAAAACAGAGTTTTTAATACTGATGCTCTGACAGAAAGTAGAAATTGGTGGTTTTCATCAGTGAGCTCTTTGACTGAAGTCAGATAGTAACTTAGGTTTCATTACATGTGGTTTGCTTGGCTAAAAATAGATAACATTCAAAGCTTGACATCAATGACTTAAAAGCTACTCATGGGATAGACAACAGCTTCTTTCTTTAAGCCACTTAATTTTTTGCCATCAAATTAATATTTTATTATTCCTGGGGGGCCTCTACATGGTCTTTATGGTTTTCACAAGAACAACAAGAGCCACACATACCTATATTAAATTGTGCCTTGAAAATCCATTGGGGGAAGCTGCTGGGACTAAATGCTTTAGTACCTAACAGAAGTAATTAACTATGGGACAACGATTCAATGTTGTAATGGTTTGTTTGTATTTCGATGGATATCCAGAAGGGAATGAAGAAATATAAATGATAAAAAATGTCAGAGCAGTACATATCAGCCAATAGTATCTTATTCCCATTCATCCCACCCCCGTCATGATAGAACATCATGTTCAAAGGATTTGATCAAGAATCATCTCCTGGAAAACAAATATTTTACAACTTTAAACCTTTGTGCAGTTCACACAAGAGAATGGTTTTATAAAGGAGACAGGTTTTTAATTTGCTGTCACTGATCACAAGAGTATCAATTATTTTTTTGATAGTACGTTCTTTCATCTTTTGGCTGAAGAGATATTCATTGCTTTATACACTTTTTCTTTTTTAAATCAGTCACTTGGAAATAAAAGATTTATGATCCCCCCCTGCCTAACTATATGCAGCTCATAGAAACAGTTTTGTTTAAAATACGTGATGCTTCCTCCAAAGTAATACTTTACTAAAAGGAACAAAAGAGCTGTCATTAGGCTTCCCATTTCAAAACTATTTGTAAAATTCATTTTAACAATCAAATGCCATATGGACAACAAAACAGTTATGAGCTGCTTATTTTTATTCAAAGTACAATATTTCCAGATGTATTGCTTTTTTTCCCCTACAGTAAGATTTCATCTGATTTAAAAAGTATGTGTGTGATGGTGGGGCAGCCTAACTATTATGCTTAGCCACAGATTTCACATCTCCCATCTTGTATCATGTTCTAACTGCATAAGCTAAGCTTAGGTTATAATCAGGTTTCCACCCGCCATGAAATTCAATGTCTGTGTGATCAATGTTTTTGGATCCTTTTGAAGTTCACATTCAGAATTTCAGAAATGATGGTTTATTTGACCAGTTGATGGACAAGAAAACACAGAGGCTGCAGAAGATGATTTGAGAAGGATACAATTGGAGCATGCCTCCTGTAGATTAAAGGTAATCCAAGAAGTGTATTTTAGTAGCCAGTTCTGGCAGAGGCTGTTCCCTCCACAAAAGGGAACAGAAGTAGGTCAGCACCACTTGGCAGAGAGAACAGAGTCAGCCAGGGTTTTCAAGGGCAAGCCTTGCAGCAGAGATGGATGCCTCCATTGAAGGGGAAAGGAATGAGCCAGACCTGTCAGGAAAGAGCCAGAGTGGACCCATTAGAGAGATGGTGTGCAAACTAGCTTCATTTCTGCAGAATATACCAAGCTGAAATCTATGTAACACAATATGAGCATGGGGAAACAGAGGACCTAGCTAGGACAGGAAATGAAATTACCTCACCGATAAAAGGCTTCTGTTAGAAATAGGAACAGATACCAGCACATCACTTCATGTTAAATGGTTTTGCATAGTGAGTTGGCATGTAGAGAACAAGGCATCTTTACAAAGCTGCTGCTTGGTGCTAAAGTTCATGGTGGTCCAACATTCCACACAAAAGGTATTTCTTTAGCCTAGTTACACAGCTGAACCAATGCGGTTCTGTATGTGATCACCTTTCTATGAGTAATCCAAAAGATTACTCATTTGGAAAATGAGCAGTCTGCAAGTGGATAGCCATCTACAGTTGCAGTTAAACATGAAACAGAAGGACTATCAAGAGGAGGTTTCCCAAAAGTCCCAGTTTATTCTGAATTCTATACAGTGCTATTAAAGTGGCAGAACAGAAATTTATTGCAGAGCAATAGAAATGCAATTTCTGGCTTCCACTTCAGTTTCACTCTGTTTCTTTCACGCTCTGTTTCTATGTTTCTATTGAAGCAAAGCTCAGGGAACCAAGGTTCAATTTGGATGCCAGGAAGTACTTCCTGACAGTTAGGACCCCGAGGGTGTGGAATGGGCTTCCATGAGAGGTCGTTGAGGCCCCATCAGTGAGGGTATTCAAGGATAGGTTAGACATGTGCATGGTGGGCATGTCATGAGCAGAGCCGACTGGAATTGGGGGTCAGACTAGATGGCCCAGGAGGTCCCTTCTGACTCACTCTGTT